CATTCGACTCAGCACCCAGAAGACTACAACTGGTGAAAATTTGATTTTAGGGTATACTTCCCCTTTAATTTTCACGCTTGTTAGGTTTCTCACACTCAGTGCACCTCACACTAAAGTGACTTGCTTACTTGCATTTGCAAACCTTTCAGATGTTGTAGAATAAGAGTGTGTGTAGCAGTGAGTTTGCTCTCTCGCTGTAACATTTTAGATTCGTGGCGAAGAAGTGAAGAATTGTGTTTCCTACTACTACAGGACTTGTTACGTGGTGTGCGTGCGGGTTGAGATCACCGAGGGTTCTCACCAATTTTGCTGGTAGCAGAGGACGGTTTTGAGTCTAGTAGTGGTAGTGCAGTAGTATCAGAGCACAACAATGAGTGCGTCTGATCATGAGAGATCTCGTTGTAGCGGCGACTTGCCGGAGCATCCCGCGCACGCGGAGGGAGCGAAGACCACGGTGGAAACCAGCTGCAGCGGATCGACGTCCGAGCCACTGGAGACAAGCGTACACTCCGGGTCGGGTGAAGGCGTTGATAGCGCAGACCACCATTCCGCCGAGGAGGAAGATGTGGAGATCGAAGACGACATCCAGGATGTCACAGTTCTGAAAGCCATGAAGATAGGGCAGAAGAGTGAATTTACCAAGCTTCGCAGACGAGCGCTAGTAGTAGTACTGACGAAGGACATGGACAGTAGCGAGCTTGAGAAGGAGACAAGTCGGCTTAGCGAATCGTACGACCGGGCAATGAGCACCATAGGCGACTTGCTCGGACATTACACATTTACAGTAGTCGTAATGACACTAAGAACCGTTCGAAGACGTTTAGCGAAATGGAGGTGTTGGAGGAACAATTCTCTAACGCCATGGCCCAGCTGATTGAAGTCACACGAGACGCGGTGCATCGGGAAGTAATTCGTGGCGGTGCAGCAGCGCGGGACAGGCGCTATGGAAGCGCGTTTGAGGCGTATGAAGACAAGTAATTATTATTTGGTGCAGCAACGCTACAGCAAGCGGCGAGCGCTGATCCAGGATGCGAGCAGCAGGTGTTACAACGAGACACCCACAGCCCGGACGCTTGGCAAGGATCAACAGTGAACCATTTTGGCGGAGCGTTCCCTAGTTCGGCAGTGCGTGCAGACGCGGACTGCAACGATTCTCCTGTACCTGTGGCGGTGGAAACAAGCGTGACTATGACAGCTGAAGCGCCCTTGTGCAGCAGTCAGAGTAAGTGTGACGACTGTCAATGCCATGCAGTGATCAGGTGTCATTTCAGGTGCTGCTATGACTGGGTCTAGAGCGCCACCAGTGCAGGCAGGGCTGTCACATCACGATGAGCCTTTCCCTTGGCCCTCACAGAGTACAGTGCCACCTGCACCCCACACACAACAGAGTCAACCAGCACCCACTACTTTCATGCAAGGACAAGGGCTATCACAGTTGACTCTTCATGCACCTGCGCTTGCTTCCACAGCCAGCAGGGGATCCAGGAGTGGAATGCCAACTCACACTAGTAGTAGACCTGCACAGACAACCAGAGTGGGCACTGCTGGAGTTAGGCCATCTACTCCCAGGTATCAACCTTCATCATTACCAACGTATCCTGTTTCCAGTAGCAACACGACTTACCGCAATACTGGACAGTTGGCATCCGCTTATCCAACTGGTAATCCTCATCCTCAGTTCCGAGCACAGCACCACCAGTCAACAGGACAGGCCAGTGTGAGTCTGCCACCATTTTACCCAGCGACCAGCAGTCTTGTCAATGCACCTACATCGGCTGGACCGTGGACGCATCTCCAAAAGATCAGCATCCCAGTGTTCGATGGGAAGAAGCACAAATACGAGGCCTGGAACGCCGCGTTTGCTGCATGCGTGGATGCCGCACTGCTAGCACCGGAGACCAAAATGTTCCAACTCCGCCAGTACCTAGGCGGCGAGGCATTGGAGGCAATCGAGCGTTTCGGCTATTCAGCAGCAGCGTACAGTGGAGCGAAGGCCATGCTCGAGAGAAAGTACGGAGGCGAACGGCGTCGCATTGCTCTTCATGTCGAAGAACTGGATCACATTCAGTCAGTGAGAGCGAATCGCCCAAAAGAGCTGGAGAAGTTTGTCGACCTACTCTCGGTAGCAGTGATCAACCTCAAGGATGCTGGGCGGAGTGCAGAACTACAGCCTGGCACTTTATACAGCAAGCTCTTGAGGAAGTTCGACCAGCAGCTCCTCACCCAATTCTACCGATGGTGATACGACCGAGCCAAGCCAGACTCAGTAGAGGTCCTTCTTGAATGGTGCAGTCTGGAGGCTGAATTCCAGACCACGGCAGCAGAAACCATTGAGGGCCTCAACGCGAGGAGTCAGGCAAGTGCGAGTAGCAGTGTTTCCGCATCACGACGGTCGACACCATTCGCTGGTCCGAAGAAGAGCACATTCGTCAGCACACCAGACAAGAAGCCACGGTCGTGTTCCCATTGTAAAGGCCCGCATTCCATCACGCAATGCATGCCCTTCTAGGCAGCAACACCGGCGAAGCGATGGAAGGTCGCGAAGGAGACAGGCCTGTGCTTCCGTTGCCTGAACTCTGGTCACTCAGGGCGCGAGTGTTTCAGGGCACAGGCATGTGGCATAGACGGTTGCCAGAAAAGCCATCATCGTCTGCTTCACGAAAACCAGCAGATTGGATTGCATAAGCAGCCAACGGAGAAGACGGGAGACAGCAAAGCAGCAGTGTCGAGCAACGAGGTTACCGGTGCAACCGAGCGAACACAGTTGGCAGTGCTACCTCCCACGGAGGGGAGCTCATCAGCGGCTCAAACCACCAACCTCGGCGTGCGCGGCAAGATAGCGCTCCGAACCGTCTCCGTTGTGGCACGGAGCGGGGACTGCCGGATTGCGCTCAATACGCTACTGGATGCCGGCAGCACTCAGAGCTATGTGAATGCCTCGGTTGCAGCTCAGCTCGGAGTAGAAGGGCAGACGCAGCGAGTGTCTGTCAGCGTACTGAATGGTGGGATCGAGTCGTTTTAGACAATGCCGGTAGACTTCCAGTTGGAGAGTAGCGACGGAAAGTTTATCGCCCCAATGACCGCCATAACCACGACGAATGTGACCGGCAGCTTGTGGCCGATCGATTGGAACGTTGAAGCCGCCAGATACACCCATCTGCAAGACATCAAGTTCCCCAAGCCTGCCGACCCGAGGGTGGTCGACATTCTCATTGGTCTCGATCACGCGGAGTTCCATACGGCCCTGGAAGAAGTGCAAGGAGAACCAGGTGAACCCATAGCTCGCCGAACAGCTCACGGATGGACGTGTGTCGGGATCGTCGACAAGTCGGCCAGAGCCACGCTGTTCTGCCATCGCAGTGACGTGTTCGTCGCGGAAACCAGCCATGACAGTCTAGAGGGCTTGGTCCGACAGATGTGGGAGATGGATAGCCCCCGGCAGAGGGGCGACCCAGTCCATAACCACGACGAATGTGACCGGCAGCTTGTGGCCGATCGATTGGAACGTTGAAGCCGCCAAATACACCCATCTGCAAGACATCAAGCTCCCCAAGTCTGCCGACCCGAGGGTGGTCGACATTCTCATTGGTCTCGATCAGTCCACGGAGGATCGTGAAATCATCTGCAGCGCACGGGCAACCTTGTCTGGAGTCGGCACCGGAAGGTATACCGTGGGACTTCCATGGAAGAGGAAGCCAGCGATGCGTAACAGCAGCTATGACATGGCGCTGAACCGGTTGCGCTCAACAGAACGGCGGCTTAGGAAGGAACCAGACGTTGGAGAAGTGTCCAGCCGTCTGGTATGGTCTAAAGGCAAAGTGGCCCCATTCGGCAGGGTGAGTATTCCTCGACTGGAGTTATCTGCAGCTGCTATGGCGTGTCGACTCGGAATGTCGATTGCCAAGGTTCTCTCTATTCCTCGCGAGCAGGTGGTACTGTGGACGGACAGTATGAATGTGCTGTGCTGGGTTCGCAACTGCAGCCGCTTGTTCAAGCCATACGCCGCTAATCGAGTGAGTGAGATCCAGCAGCAAACTGAGCCGTCCCAGTGGCGCTATGTGCCGACTGCCGTTAATCCAGCCGACCTGATATCACGAGGAACGTCAGCGGAGTCCTTAGTGTCTAGTAGCCTGTGGTGGGACGGACCAGAGTTTCTGAGCAAATCGTCAGAAGAGTGGCCTAGTCAACCTACGTCCGTCAAGCCGGCAGCTGCTACTATGGAGATTCGGTCAGCAGCTCGTCAGCTCACCGGCGGCGTCGACTCGTTCTTCATATTCCTGAAAGACAGCGACTGGAGTCTCAATCCGACGCGTTTCTCGTCCTGGCAACGCCTTATCCGCATCACAGCTTTGGTGGTGAGGTTCGTCAACAACTGCCAGATTCGTGTGGAGGAACGCCAGCTGGGTGCAACGACTCCAGAGGAGCTTGAGGCAGCTCGACAATGTGTCTTCGTTCAGCCCAGCGACAGTCATTCACCGAGTACGTACTGTTGGAACGGAGCAAACCTCTTCCGAGTTCGAGTAAGCTGTCGATTCTTCTGCCAATGATCGACAGCCAAGGTTTGATTCGTGTGCAAGGGCGAGTTCAACATGCGGCGTTTCTATCGCTCGACGCTAGGTACCCAGTCATTCTGCCGCGGCACAACTGGGTAACGCAGCTCATCATCCGCCAAGAGCACGAGGACACACATCACGAAGCTGGTACGAGTCACCTCCTGACCAGGTTGATGCAGCGGTACTGGATTCAATCCGGGAGAGAAGCTATTCGCGAGGTTCAACGCAACTGTTCGGAATGTCGCCGACGAAAGGCGAAGCCCGCGACGCAGGTGATGGCACCGTTGCCGAAGATCCGGCTGAAGCCACCCCATCGAGCGTTCGGTCGTGTTGCTGTTGACTACGCCGGTCCTTTCCAGACCCGGCATACAAGGCAGGGGTCACAGGCGTGCCAAGAGATACCTGTGCCCCTTGACTTGTCTGACGTGTCGCGCGGTACACTTGGAGATGTCATACAGTCTCGACATCAACAGCTTCATCAACGCGTTTGAACAGATGGCCAATCGACGTGGGCTACTCGAGGAAGTTCTATCGGATAACGGAACAAACTTCGTTGGTGGCCAGAGAGAGATTCAAGAGATCTTTACTGGAGATGACCAGGAAAGAATTGGTCAACACTTCGACAAGGTGAAGTGGAATTTCATTCCACCCGGGGCACCTCACTTTGGAGGAGTTCATGAGACGATGATCAAGTCCACAAAGCGGGCCATCTTTGCCATTCTGTCCGCGGCTGACATCACAGATGAGGAGCTTCAGACGGCATTATGTGGCGCAGAGAACCTGCTGAATTCGCGCCCACTGACTACGCCATCAGCTGACTTGAAAGATGACTTACCGATCACCCCGAACCATTTCCTGGTGGGCCGAGTGGAAGAGTTCGCCGTCGACGGTACCGACCAACCAAGCAGTCCGCAGCAGAGGTGGTGACGTGTACAAGAACTTGTGACGCATATCTGGCGCCGCTGGATGACAGAGTGGTTACCGGCTCACAATCGACGATCGAAGTGGACCACCAAAGAGCGGAACATGGCAGTTGGCGATGTGGTGTTAGTCATTACACCGCACACTCCACGCGGCAAGTGGCCACTCGGACGCGTACAGCAAGTGATGCCTGGCACAGATGGGCATGTGCGTGTCGTGAAGGTTCTAGTAGGTGGTAAGCTAGTCTCACGCCCTATCGTCAAGCTTTGTCCCATCCTACAGGGATGAAGATGTTCCCAAGACTAACGGGTCATATCATGCGCATCATATCCTACCTAGGATGACATGTTTTGGCTCTGTTGTGTGGGGAGTTCCGTTATACTCTTGTAGCCGAGTGCGGTGAACTTTATACTATTTAGAAGGTGTTTTATAAGATTGCTCATTCTATCGGCAATAATAGACGGAGAGGTACTTCAAGTATATTGATATTTGCTCTTGTGTTTAACGTGAGCATATCAAGGAGGGGAGTATGATCAGTAGCACTAGTGCGACTTCATGAATAATAGCAGTGTAGGCTTGTTGGTTTGGCACGAAGGTAGTAAAGTAGTACATTTGCATAAGTTGTGTTTTGCGGCACTGAAAGCTATGCCTTAGGTTATCACTAGTGTAGGGTTTCATTTTATCAACTACATTTCATGCTTGTTAGGTTTCTCACACTCAGTGCACCTCACGCTTGCTTTACTTGCAAAACCTTTCAGATGTTGTAGAATAAGAGTGTGTGTAGCAGTGAGTTTGCTCTCTCGCTGTAACATTTTAGATTCGTGGCAAAGAAGTGAAGAATTGTGTTTCCTACTACTACGGGACTTGTTGCGTGTTGTGCGTGCGGGTTGAGATCACCGAGGGTTCTCACCAACTACCAAGAGTATCATTGAAGGCTTTTACTCTTGCTTTGAACGAAACTTGGTAGGATCTAGGAGTTGCTGAAAATGTAATAACGTCGCGATATCCGCTCGATTTGGTTCTAATCAAGCGGATATCGCGGATATTGCAACGGTTGACCACCTACATGTACATGTATCCAAAAATTGAAATAGCGACGTATGTGCGCGCAGGCGTACATGTAGATCTACAATTATGTAGGATTGGCCCATTGATGTCATTAATTATTGCACTGCGCACTGCGTAGGGTCCGGCGGATTCTGCCGGCAGAAAAATTGGCAGAATTCGGTACGTTTTCTGGTAAGTTTCATGCATGCTTGGTATGTGGATAAAGAAATGGAGCAGAATTGAGGAATTGCCCGCCATAAGGTTTGTAGGGTTCTGCCAATTTCACTGCTCTTCGAGCAGAATCTGCCACCTTTTCGAGCATAATCCGCCGGTCCCGCGCAGGCCAGGGAGTCCTCGTAGATCTACACCGGCATAAATTTGACGTAGACTCTGCTGATATCGGCAAGAGTTCATAAGGGGTCGTCCGCAAATATCGATATTTTTTTAGAGAAGATATTCGTTCGTTTGGGGGGGGGGGGGAGGGGGTTTGGGCCCTGTTCGTCTCGTCTTTGAGAAAAAAAATATCGAACTCTATCTATGGACGGGCACTGTTCGACATGTACATGTAGTTTATGACCTACACAAAGTGAAAGTCAACCTCGTGAACATAGTATGGCAAGGTTGTGCGACTGTGGCAACGTAAACCTAGGTGTATGGGGAAATTAGAGTTACAGAATGGCTCAGACCACGCAGTGGTTGCCAGCTATTCTGGATTATATGAAGAATGTGATGTCGAACATATCAATGTGTTTGGCCTAGTTTCCTAACTCTTGATAGCTTTTTTGTAGTGAAAATTCATGAATTTTGTGATTTTATTTGAATCCTTGGTTTTAACGCATGCGTGGAACACCAGGTTTCGTTGATAAAAGCCCTTGTTCCCTCTATGTTCTTCGGCCTTTTGAATAGCGAGCCTCGGAACAAGCATATTATGTGCATTATAACACAGGGAGGGTCAGGGTTGGGACATTGATATGTTCGACATCACATTCTTCATATAATCCAGAATAGCTGGCAACCACTGCGTGGTCTGAGCCATTCTGTAATTATACTTCAGAATGCTCTGTCTCCATATCAATGTGATTTTGTAGCTCTCTGCCAGTGGTTGACAGCTTCGAGAGAACTGCCTGAGCATATTTCTCATCATGCTGGGGTCTAATAATAGAGCTTCTGAAAGACCGACTGGCTGCTCCAGTCTGCTGCTTTCAAGATATCATTCGTAGTAGTACCAGCATCCGCTGTTGCGGATGCAGAAGCACTCTGCACGGAGTGTGCTTTGAAGATACTAGTATCGATACCCGCACGAGATACCATTGGGTGTTGACCAGTGTCATACCTGTCAGTTTTTTTCCTGGACGGAAGGAATTGCTGATCTGTAATTATTGTCAATATTGATAGAGCGGTATTGATAACCAGCTTTGTACAATGATGCCAGGAAGTTGACAATCGTGGCTATATCACTTGAAAAGGGATCATTGTTCCGTTCACGACACCAGCCCATCCATTTCTTGAATAGGGAGTCGTACGTCTTCGTAGATCTCTGCCTCCATGATCCAAGGAGGAGTTCTGAAGCTTCCTCAGAAACATTCTGACTGGTGTACTTTCTCCTGAGATATTCCACGCGGCTAGACGAGGGACTATCTCCGGTTCGTTTACGCTGTGCGTCGGCTGAATCAGATCTGGAGTGCTGGGAAGCAACAGGGGCTCCTCTACCAGCAGGTCCAGGAGGGCTGGATACCACGGTTGACTCAGCCATACCGGTGCAACAAGCACTATCCGAGATTTCTGAGGGCAGACCTGTGCTACTACTCTGCTTATCAGGTTCCAAGGTGGGTTGACATAACCCTGACACTTTGTCCAGTCCAACGAGAAGGCATCCATGTCTATCGCATTTGGATCGGGACGCCGGCTCACATACATCGGCAGGAGATGTGTCAGCCGAGAGGCAAACAGGTCTACATTCATGGGACCCATTCGAGCAAAGATCTCCTGGAATACATCTGGATGCAACATCCAGTCCGATCGATCTTTCATCACGCGAGACTCGTCGTCTGTAACTGTGTTCAGTGATCCTGCTAAGTGAGTGGCCTGGAGAGTTATCTGTCTTGCCATGCACCATGTCCACACCTCTTTGGTGAGGCGATTGAGGTCGGGAGACACAGTGCCTCCGAACTTGTTGATATACGTCAAGGCTGTGGTGTTCACGGTCCATCTTCAGGTGAACCAGAAGATTTCGACTTGACTTCAGAAATGCTTTTACAGCCAGGAAGGCTGCTAACGGCTCCAAGCAGTTTATATGCATCTCTCGTTCCTGACAACTCCACGGACCGCCTGTTTGGGAGTTCTGGCAAGATGATCCCCAGCCCACTGTCGAGGCATCCGTCTCTATCACCAGGTCTGGTTTCGGCGTGAGAAGACGACGACCGTTCCAGTCTGTCAGGTGATCGATCCACCAGTCCAATTCCTCCAGAGCTTCGCTGCTCAAGAGACAAGGATGATCGTAATTCTAAGATCCCTCCCCTAGGGCTTTCTGCAAACAGCCCTGAAGGTTTCGATAGAACAAAGGACCTGGTGGAATCGCATGTGCAGCATGGCTCAGTTTGCCCAACAGGTGAGTTACAGAAATTGCTGAGTGTGTTTTTTTTTTTCCTCTCGCAATTTTTTGCATCTGATCGTGTTTTCTCCACGGTAAATTTATCTCCCGGCAATCTGATCGTCAGATTCTCGGAGTTCACCGGTATTAAGCCGAGAAAATCTATCTCCTTGGTGGAGTTCGGTTGTGGTTTCTGGTAATTCACAATGAACCCTAGATTCTCCAGGAGGAAAATCAGACCGGCCGTGTGGTCGTTTGTCTCGTTCTCCGCCATGCTCAGGATATCGTCGATATGAATAACCACCCTCAGTCCTGAGTGTGATTATCACCGCCCTTGAGGTCTTGGTAAAAACCCGCGGGGCTGACGATAGTCCGAACGGCAGACAGTTCAACTGATACATCTTTCCCTGCCATGCAAAACGCAGCAACTTTCGCTGGTCTGCGGCAATATTCCCTGGCAATGGGAATCATGAAGTGCGCATCTTTCAGGTCGACTTTCGTCATGAAATCGCCTGGTCTCAGCAGATCTTTCAACATGTGTATACCCTCCGTTTTGAAATGGGACACTTCCACAAATGGTTCGGAGCTTTCAGATTGATAATCGGTCTTATCGCTCTGTCTTTCTTCGGGACAGCGAAGAGTTGAGACACAAACTGATTGTTCGTTTGATCTGCAGGCATTACTTCGGAAATCGCATGTTTGCTTTGTATTGCGACAACTTCTGAGGAGATCTTTTTCGTTTCCTCCTCTTGAAATACAATCTCCCTTGGGGAAACGGTTTGAAAGGGTTCTTGAACAAAGTGAATTTTGTAACCCTGAACACCCCGCAACCATGCATTGGGTCGAGACACTTTGTGTCAGGTCTCTGACACCCATTTCCAAGCTCGGGTATTGAAACTTCTGAAATGGCCTGTTTGTTCGCCATCAAAGTTATTTCGAGGGAGATTTTGATTTCTCCTCCTCCCGAAACACTATCTCTCTTGGAGAGTGAGATTGAAAGGGCTTCTGAAGCCACTGAATTGTGTAACCCCGAATACATTTCAAGACCCACTGGTCTGAGCTGATTGCATTCCAGTCTTGTGCAAGCATTGCTACACTTCCCGCAATCGGGAACTGGTGAAATACGACACTTTCTGTCATGTCTTTTTCACCCATCTGCTGGAGAGCACTCACAACAGAAGACATTGAGTAGTTTTGAAAACTCTTTATTTCCTTTAGAGGAAGGGGTAAAGGCGGATGGCTCACTTTGCTGACTCCTGACGACTTCTGTCGTTGGGTTTCCTGTTGAACTGGGGATTGTACTGGTTTCCGCTGTAAGGTCGGAACCGGTTGCCGTTCTGATTGAAACTGCCCCGATTTGAATGGCCTCCCCGTGGGGCATGGTTGGCTCGGCCTCCTCGAACAAACGATCCGGTGGAAGCCTTGCCACCTCGCGAGGACGCCGCCTGCGACAAACATTTGAGCTCTTCGCTCCGTTCCTTCGCTTTTCTGGAGAAGCCATCTCCAAACAGCTGGGGTGCAGACGTCTTGAACGTATCGTCATCTTCTGCCATTTCGGCAAGGTCGCGATTCATACAAAGAATGGCATTTCGCCGCCTTTCTCTATTCAAATGCATATTTGCATTGCCAATAAAAGCCAACGCCTGTTGGCATGCTTCGACCGTGGCTTGTACGGTGAGAGTCTCTTTCCCAGCTTCCTCTAGTACGTAGGTCAAAGGACCTACGGCGTCCAAAAGCAAGGCCTGTTGTTTCGACAGGGCCTTGTCTCGCGACTTGGTCGCAGGGTGTAATCGGGACTTCACCATCTTGTCCATGATGGGCGCAGAGGCCACATCTACTTTGGGGCGCCCAAAACGACTACGCCATTGGCGCCGAACTTCGTTCGAGGTAGTTGTTGTAAATTTCTCCCGAAAGAATTCCAAAGTATCCGAGGACACTTTGAAATCCTGAGACGATTTGTCAAGCAAGCTTGACTCGTCCATTTCCTCTTCTGACTCACAGTCCGAGGGGTTGGGGATCTCACGGGTTTTACCCGGTGTTGAAGAAGCTCTTGGCGCCAGAGCGGAAAACGAAATAGAGGCACTTCGTGCCGGGTCAGGGCGGGATTGAGCCGCTTCCAGAGCAGACACTCGTTCCGCAATACTTGAAACGTCTGAGCCGATTTGCTCCATCACCTGCGAGACCTTTCCAAACTGGCTCATCATGTCCGCCATGATCCTCGATGACTGACCAGCAGCATCGGGAGAGGTAAAGGAGCTTGCAGACGAGTCCATCCTTGAGAGTGGACTTGACAGTTTGACGATTGAAAGGCGGTCTACAGTAAGCACAGAGACACACCAAGTTAGAAATACAACCAAGAGGAAGTACTGTACAAGACAACAGTCGATAACGAGATCGAACAGCTTGCCAAGAAACTTACTTCGAGCGAGCTAGAAAAAAGGCCGAAGAACATAGAGGGAACAAGGGCTTTTATCAACGAAACCTGGTGTTCCACGCATGCGTTAAAACCAAGGATTCAAATAAAATCACAAAATTCATGAATTTTCACTACAAAAAAGCTATCAAGAGTTAGGAAACTAGGCCAAACACATTGATATGGAGACAGAGCATTCTGAAGTATAATTGCAGCTGGTCACCACTGGTCACGGTTTAGGAAATTGCACTCCATTAAAAAATATCGATCCTTTGCATAAACATGACTGACTGTGTATGTCTTGAACAAAATATCGATATTTACGGACGTCCCCCCCCCCCCCCCGGACGGCCCCTATACTATGTTATGTGAGAGTCCATAACCCATAACAAAAAAAAGGGTTATGGACTCTTGTATGTAGCAAGAGTACATAACCCCCCGGGGGGTTATGTACTCTTGCCTAGGCTATAGCCTAGGCCTATGTAATGAACTCTTTATTATCGGTCATCGCGCATCGACTCATATCGCGCATATCGCGTGTGCATGTGATGCATGCAGCGATGGGATACATGCAGCTACAGCCTACAGCAACGCACGTGCCGATTCTGGCGATTTCACACATAATGCACGCGTGCTCAAACTCCGTTTATCAACACTAAACAAGATCGCTTTCAGAGTTGTTTGTGTTCCGATCCCATGACGGAGATACACATTTTCGAGTCCACGTTGAAGTCATGTTAAAACTCATTATTATTATATTATTTTGTGAAATCTCAGAGCAACATTATTTCCCTTCTCTTTGCAATTTGGGGGGCTCGTTCGAGTCACCCAGTTCCCTTTTACAACACGTCCTTCAATCACAAGGGCGCAGTTCTAACCTCCTCTATTTTGTCCCCAGTCTCTCGTCGTTTAGAGTGTCCGAGACAATTAGAATTATTTGCTGGGAAACAATTGTGAAATAATTGTCAACTTCAGCTCAGGGAGAGTGAGAGAGAAAATAAATTTGTCCGGAGAGTGGTGGAGTATGTACATGTACAGTGAATTGCTCCTTTGATATTCACTGCAGTCGTCTATCAAACTGAAGTGGGTGCTATGTTCAAGTCCTGTTGACCGTTACCTCTATCCATATCTGGTATCAAAACGCTTGGCCACTGACTCCTGATACTAGTTGATCGCTTTATCTGTCTGAGTGGGCCTGGGTGGCTCCACTAGAGTATCGCCATGTCGCGGAAAAAGGAGATCCTGAGGTACGAGGCACCATGGCCGCTGTATGCTATGAACTGGAGTGTGCGAAGCAACCACAACTTGCGGCTTGCTGCAGCTAGCTACATGAATCACAACAAAAACAAGGTACGTCGCAGCAATGCATTTATTCTCCATTTCTGCACAATGAACATTGTGCTGTTTGCCATGTAAGAATTATCTCCTGTTGGGCGCAATGCTGGCTTATTTTTAGTAAAGCTTGGAAAATGTTGCCGCAAAGAGACGTTGAATATACCGTAAAACCTGTGACTAACGACCACCCTTTGGGGCCAGAGAAAGTGGTCTTTAATGGCAGGTGGTCCTTAGTTAGAGGTTTGCACCGCACAACCATAATATGAACGTGAGACCGTCCGTGCCTGACGAAGTGATCTGTAGTACCAGGCTGGTCGCTAGTCACGGTGGTCTTTAGTTACAGGTTTTACTGTAAATTGAAACCGGCCTGTGCACGTGTTGTCACCGAATCTGATTATTTTCACGTTTGGGATGCTGGATATGCTGCATATGGGTACACATGACTGGCTTTTGAACTGCAGATAGTGCATCGGGTGCAGCGCCGTGGTTCTTCGTGCAACTACATATACATGCCCGTGTAGTTGCACTCGGATGCGAGGCTGCAGTGTGCCTGCCTTTTCTATCCATGAGTCCCTTTCTCGCACACCTGAAGTACCGGTACGCCTGGTACACTCTGAGGCGGCACTGGCTGCTGTAGGACAGGTTGTTTTCTATCTGTCAGACGGTGATTGCCCCAGTCCCTGGTGGTTACTAGTATCTGGTTATATGTGCAGTCAGGCTCTCTGAAATCCAACCTGCGGAATATGCCAGCGCCCCTGCACCAGTTCAAAGCCCAGTGAGCTGCATGACACTCGGTGCTGACCGTCTCGCAGGGCGGGATTTCATTAGGCAGTGCAGTGATTCTACACACTATACATAATTATCGTATCACTGTGAACGCCATGCCAGGTCGTAGAATATACTGCAGCGATAAGCGAAGTCTGACCCCGTGTTTTTAGCCGTTCAGTGCAAGCACAAGCTACAGTCCTGGCCAATGAATTAGGAGGTGGGCCTGGGGTGCAGATCCTGGAGCACTGCTGTCGTTAGTACACTGTCCTAGTCCAGGCTTGGTATCCAACATTGATTCTGTATTTAATAATTATATTCACGGGTGCATGCTTGGTACAAGTGTGTAGGTTATGCAAAGATGCCCTGCACAAATTCTCTAGGGGTGACGTGATTGCAGATGTTACTGTTGGTACTGTTCTAGGGGTGACGTGATTACAGATGTTGCTGTTGGTACTGTTCTTGTTCGTGGCGTCGTCGTCGTTGTGCCATGCAGATTCAAGTGCTGACTGTGAATGATGCGGATGGCGAAATTGCTTGTACGCATATGGCCGATGTTGACTACCCTGTCAACAAGATGATGTGGATACCAGACACAGTAAGCAGTGCATGTTCCAGGTTGTCCCATGGGCTGTGTTAGTCTTCCAATACCGGCTTGGTGCTCCTGATTAAAGTACAGAACATGAAGCAGGGGTGTGCCCACGTAGCGCCAAGTGTACGCTGTATACATCTTACCTCCATGTAACTTTCGGTGCCTATAATACTCACATTAGTAACACTAATTAGCTACAAAGCTTGCAAGGCAAAGTCATCGGATGCAATAATGCAACGGTCCATTTCTCGTACTTCAAAGAAGTAGTAGGATCGTAAGCGGCTGTGAGCAGTTGCCTTTCAGGCTGTGTGTACGTTGTGCTTGTACATGCGCGGTGCATAGTGGGGATCTCTGAGAAAACCACCCTGGTTATCCCCTTGGATACTCCCCTGTGAAGAATGAGGATGCACTGCACGTTGTGAACACGTTCTCGTTTGCTTTCGCTGTCCTCTCAGCACAATATGTATCCAGACTTGACGGCGACGTGTAGTGATTACGTTCGCCTGTTCAAGCTCAAAGATGATGGTACTATGCAAATGGAATGTCTCTTGGACAATGTAAGTACATGTATAATACTTACTACTGTCGTGGACATGGAAATCCCGTCGCATGTCTAGCGGTCCCAGGGCGCAGGCCATGCAGCCGTGGGTAAGCAGTACACGCATGCATGTATTATGCGCTGCAGCGCGCTAGTCGCATCGGGTCAACATGTGCACTGCATTCAACGACGTTCTGTACACGCTGAGGGCGCCGGCCCCGATCAATCGACTGGATTTCCATGTCCACGGCAGTAGGTTCTCTGTCTCTCTCTGTCTCTGTCTCTCTCTCTGTCTCTGTCTCTCTCTCTCTCTCTCTCTCTCTCTCTCTCTCTCTCTCTCTCTCTCTCTCTCTCTCTCTCTCTCTCTCTCTCTCTTCTGTCTCTCTCTCTCTCTCTCTCTCTCTCTCTCTCTCTCTCTCTCTCTCTCTCTCTCTCTCTCTCTCTCTCTCTCTCTCTCGCGCTCTCTGTCTCTCTCTCTCTCTCTCTCTCTCTCTCTCTCTCTCTCTCTCTCTATCCCAGAGTTCTTTCTTCTTGTTTTCTTGCTTTGTATGAAATCCCGTAGGCCCAGCTCGGGTTAGGTGTTGGACAGTCCTATCGTGGTTGCTGTAATTTCCATTACATAGCGCGCACCTAACCACTTCATGGCACAGAGTTTATGGAAGTGTAGCCACGTACGCAAAAGCACTCCAGCTGAAGCTGAAGAAAAAATCCACTCTTTTGTCGATAATGGGCAAATAAATCAAGTGAGCATGTATGGCACACAACAGACGTCCTATCGGGCTTATACTATGGGTTGTGTACATTTGTACAATGTGAGTAACAGAATTATGATTTTTAACCCTTTATTACCGGCCTGCGCTTTCGATCATATATGATCGAAAGTCTACGGGCCAGTAATATCTTCGTAACTCCATCGTTTCTTGTGCAAATTCAACAATCGAAGGATCTATTTGGTAGCGGAAACGTCAAGCTATCCAATGCAACAATCGCCGAAGAGATAAGATGTCGGGCGCCGGAGATATCGCGCGCCGTATTCTTACCTCGACAAATTCAAACCTTTGATCGATCACTTCGCTATCTTGGGGGGAAATCCCTTTTCGTGTGCTCTTTGAGCGACTGAGCACATGATAATGACGTAGTCGGCTGAAATTTGAATCGTCTCAAACAAATTTGAGCGTTCTACGATGAAGGAGAGCGGAATGGCGTTGATGGGACGAATTTGCTTGCATATCAGGCTTGGAGACGACTTTGCTGTGTTACCGCGCCTGATTTGTGGCGACTGGGTAATGGAGCCTGATACCCTGGCGTTGCTCTCGCCAAAAGCTTTCCAACGAGCCCTAGATTGTGAAAATCAAGCGAAGGAGACCAAAGTGATAACCTGGTGAAGTTGGAAATTGAGCTGACATTGTAATTCTGGTGCATGCTGTGCTAGTAATCCGGTAATAAAGGGTTAAATAAAAGAAGTATGAGGCCTATTGTCTTCCGGTGTATTTATCCGCGAATTTTTTTGTATATGTGCAGTACAAAAGTCCTGGGTACACTCAACCGCTAACATCATTCGACTGGAACGGTGCCGATCCTAACATCATCGGTACAGCAAGCATAGATACTTCCTGCACTGTGTGGTCATTGGAGGTGAGGACATTAGTGTGTTCTATTGTCGATGTTGTTGTCAGTATTGTTTGTCAATGTTGTTGTCCATGTTGTCGTCCATGTTGTCGACCATGTTGTCGTCCGTGTTGTCGTCCCATGTTGTTGTCTGTGCTGTTGTCCGTGTTGTCGTCCATGTTGTTGTCCATGTTGTCGACAATGTTGTCGTCCATGTTGTTGTCCGTGTTGTTGTCCATGTTGTCGTCCATGTTGTCGACCATGTTGTCGTCCGTGTTGTCGTCCCATGTTGTTGTCTGTGCTGTTGTCCGTGTTGTCGTCCATGTTGTTGTCCATGTTGTCGACAATGTTGTCGTCCATGTTGTTGTCCGTGTTGTTGTCCATGTTGTCGACCATGTTGTCGTCTATGTGGCGATGGTGGTGTTGGTGGTGTAGGTGCTGCTGCTGCCGTTGCTCTTGCTGTCACTATCGTTGTTTCAAATCTTTATTCTCACGATAGCCAGTGGCCAATAAGAGATGTTTGTTGTTGTTGTTGTTGTTGTTGTTGTTGTTGTTGTTGTTGTTGTTGTTGTTGTTGTTGTTGCCTGCTGGATAATTCGGGTCTCTGATTCTGCCTCTACTTCTTGTTGTGCTCGCTC